TTAACTTATACAGGTTCTACTGTAGTTTTTACACTTACTCATGTATGACTTAATCTACATATAAAACTCAAAATTGAGAATATAAGTCTTGTGTTTCACGTGCATTCATGTTTAGAAACGTTTGCAAGTTTGATGAAATTTTATTAAGCTTTATGCGTTCTATGCAATGTTTTTTTTTATTTACAAATAAATTTTTTTCAGTTTGCAGTACTTATGAAAAGTAATAATCATCATCTTTCAACTATCTTTGATATACAATATAAATATTTTTAACACAATTTTTAGATATCATACATCATTACATTTTTATTCTTATCATGCAATAAATTTCAATATATAAAAAATCATATAGATGACATCAAACATTGATAGATTACATAAGCAGCAAAATTTATTCTATGTATTTAATATTTAAGATGTTAAACGGAAAGTCAAGGCATGCTTGTAATATATTTTATCTCTGAATTTCAAAAGTCTAATTTTTTTAATTTTGTTTTTATTGATATACTCATAGAAATTCATTTATATAAATAATAATCCTCTATTAAAAATAAACAGGTAATCTTGAAATCTTTGAATCTAATATTATTTGTTAATTCATCTATGTAGTCTTCACAAATTGTTATTCATCTTAATTTAAATTTATTGAGGTAAAAATCATGAATATTTTTATGAATATCATCAAAATATGACGCTTAAGTTTCTATATGAGATATGATGTAAAAGTATTTAATTCTTGATTATTTAATTGATTTTTCTTAATTTAATATATTTTTTCCCATATCAATTATATTTAATGGACTCTTCATTTATTTTTAAAAAAAATGAAAATTTGAATAAAATGAAACCTATAAAGTATTTAGGTAATAATTTTGAATCTAAAAATACATTCTATGGTTAATAAGTTGAAAGTCTGAAATAGCCTTGAACTGATAATTTCATTATACTCTACATTGATAATAAACTCAATCATTGCTATGTATATTGTTTCTAGATTGAATCATGGTTTAATATTTTATCTCAATCATGCATAAACTATTATTACCTGCATCAAAGTACTTGACATAGTAATCGCTTGTGAATATTTGACAAATTCCTAAAAAAAGACATACTTGAATTATTATTTTTCTTTTCATATGCATGTTTTCAAAAGGTTAAAAAAAAATAAAAATTCATCAATGTCATTCATACCGTTTCTTGTAAATCAATGAGATGAGGGGTTTCACTATTAGCACACTAATTGACATGTAATTACTAAATAACATAATCAGACCACTATGAAGTAATCATGCAAATTGCTGATCCGTCATTTATAAATAGTACATCTTGAATTATTCTTTATATATTATACGTCATGTGTAATTTATATTTACCTTCTAACTTACTAAAGATGTTTACGACGAGCAACTAACTTTATGATGAGATTTAGCCTTGGCTTGATCTATCAATTTTAAACTTTAACTATCACATACATGTATTTGTCCAAATGTATCACTCATAAAAAAGCTATAGATATTGTATCATTGGCTTCAATAAAGATGAGATATCATCATATTGTTTATGTGTCTTGTTATCAATGTGTGTAAACATAGTAGTTATTCGGTTTGAAACCACTGCATTATTAGATTTGACATAATAGTTATTAACTCAACATCTCACACAATATCGGAGGGACGTTATTCAAATCCGAAGGATATGCGACCAGTGGAGCAACAACCACTGAAGCCTCCAAGTATAAGGTATGAGATATGACGACACTTTCGAAAATTTTGCTATTATATACAGCTATCAACTTAAACAAGTTTGTTTGCGACAAGCTTACATTGCAGCATATGTATCACTTTCAGTTTTTCTACACAACTTAAGTGCATTATATAATAATTATACTGTGTTGCTATTGTATATGAGTCTAATGTAACTAGTTGTGGTATCATAATTGTAACATTTGCATGGATCTTCACTTTCCTTTTGATTTTCGCGTGTGTATCACTCTTAATCACAATTCTCAACCCATACAAATGGATTCAGTCTTGTCCCCGTGGCCTATAGTATTGGTTCCTCGAGTCTCACTCGAGAAATGTTGAATTACATTGGTTCCTCGAGTCTCACTCGAGAAATGTTGAATTACATGTTGGTTCGTCAAAAGAATTGGTTTTCATAGGATAAACGTGAACGTAAATTAAGTATTAAATAGAGTTGTGGATGATCATCGCTAAGAGCTTCTAGCCACTCTTTTCCTAAGGTTATCTAAGTTTTGGACATGCCCACCCAATGCAGTGCATTGCCTTACATGGCATATCTGTCCTATTGTACTACTTATGATGACCTTTCTGCAGCTTAATTTTAAAAACTCTGCTGAAGCAATTATGAATGCGCAATGTACTCTTCGTGGTTCGAGTCACCTGGATAATACATCGCTGTCTTTCCTAAGAAATGAGTAGGGCATGCTGGCAAATCAAATTTTTTTAATGTTTCATATAAGATGACTTACATATATACAAATTCCTCGATTGCATTGAATCCTTGAATCGTACTAAACTTTGGAGGTCAGGTTGACATGTGAGGTAAAAGACTTAGTAAAGTAGGATATAGTGAGTATAACAGCATATCTTCTTCATTCATGATAACGATGTACCATCTTGGTTTGGAAGATGTCATTGGTTTTAATAAATCATTATCGTAATTACATTACAGATGGGCTATGAACTTTTTTTTATTATATACTTATATTACATTTAAGATTCATACCTTAGTCAATTTTAAATTGTCAATTCAAACAGAAAAATCTTTTCTGATCATTTAACTTCAAAGTTTATGATACCTTCATGTTCAAATTGTTTGCAGCACTGGTTGGAGAAACCCAAACCAGTGCTGAATTTTATAAACTCAAATTAAACTTGTATATGCATTACATTTTCATCAAACTCATGGAAGACTTTGATAAAACAGATAAACAGCACCAATTGAAAATTTGAGCAGACTCGCTAAATTTTAATGAGTCATTGTGATATCTATATAAAACTATAGTCTTTTGATTAACATCGTTATTACAAAAATACCAAATGATCACGATCAAGATTTTCTCTTAGAACCTTAAGAAAATAAATTTCCACTAGGCTGAAGCCATAATGTACTTAGCAATTCAAACATGAAAATACTAGAATTTTAAAAAATGAGAAAAATCTATCAAATATTTCTCCAAGTTCGGAACAAAATATCTACACATATTGTAAAAAAAATTTGTTAACTGACCTTTTTACGTTTATTTTTTTATTGTTTCATTTGTTCACTAACTTACTTAAATTTTTTTATTCAAAGTGTATGATATGTATTTCTTGCTATATGTATGAATTTATTAAAAAAAACTGTGAAGTAAGAAAAAAAATTTACACATAAATTTAAATTAAAAAAATACATCGAAGGCTGTATAGAAATATATATTTGCACTTGTCACATACTAAGGATGGAACAAGTACTAAATTAAAAATTAGACTAAATACCATATTTTTTATACTTTTGACATCCTTGCGATACTTCGAGAACTGAATGAAAGTAAACTGATTTGCTGTGTTGACATTTGTATATTTATGGCGAATTTGTTATCAAATGTTTTCCACATTTGCATGATTCAGGGTTTGTACGTGTCTTTCAGACTCTACCTTGAAATAAGTATTTTAGGTTATAAATTATAACTTATAATGCATATCCTTCAGAGTAAGTATAGACTTGAGGAAAATATAATCAAGATAAATTGTTTGAATTTGTTTATATAGAAAGAAAATTAAATTTTTCCTAGAAAAAGGGCTACAAATGGAGAAACTGGAGTAAAAGTCCATCTTAGAGTACTTGAAATCTATAATATAGTTTTCGCAAGCAGTGTTTGAAGTGCTAAAATCTGATTGGCTAGCAAATCTCGACTGAGTTTATAGTTTTCTATTCACCTGGATATGATCTGGATTATAGCTCCGACCAGAAATTCACAACAACTCAAGGAGTAACCAATTAAGGTTGTACATGGTTTTTCTGATAGCTTTTATGTTTCCATTCGAGTGTAGACTTCTTCATGCACTGGCACTTGGTGACCGTAGCCATTTAACATGAGACCTTGACTACGACGTTCCTGACGATAACAGAGATGAAGTCACAGTCATGTACGTTTTTACTATGGCTGACTACATGTCTTAGCAAACTTGGAAATGCAGTGCAGAAGGTGAAATTGTGGTCTGTTTCCCCTCAACGACTGCATTATCCTGTTAATAGAGTCCCGCTCCTTTCTCCCACAACACTCAGGACGCTGCTGCACCACTCATCATACTTCATGTGATCCATTATTGCGATCAATTAGCATGTTACTTGCTGGATTTTCTCACAATGCATGTATTATATGCTCTTGCGAGCATTTTTGACGTCCTCCTCGAGACAGACATGTAGAGTAAGGCGTGGTATTACACTCGGAGAACGAGATATTCAGTTGGATGGACCACACAAGTGCAATCAAAAACTGCATCAAGAGCCAGTCGGAAGTACATGCATCAGTATGCTCACTAACCCAAAACTAAAACGTTTCACTTTCATCGTCTGATACAAATATTCCCATTTCCGTGATATGGCAATTCTTGTTGGCTCCAAGTACAAACATCTTATATTTACTCCAAGTCCTGTGAACTCGACTCCTTCAACCATACCGTCCAACAGATTATTCACTAAAACATGTCCAATTGATCCCGACCTAAGTCAATCAAGACAGATCTAGACAAGAAGACACCTTCTCAAAATTTCATCTATTGTGTAGGGTTTAGTCGTCTTAACCAATTTAGACGTGAATGGTATAATTCAATAACAGCCACGTCACTTCATCGCCAACAAATTGCTCCAGAGTCACAAGCAGGCGATGCTTAAAGACACAGTTCAACAGTGCATTCTTTACAAAGTCGTGCACATCACAAATCGGAGAAACAGTAAGTTTTTGCCAAGACAGCACTACATGCAAGCTCTCTGTGTGATGAACTACAGACATTGCTACGAATCCTGAATGTTTGTGTTCGTGGAGACCTATGACGTTTGATTCAAACAAGCAATATTGGAGAAAATACTCTAAGAACAGCGATCGGTCAATGCCTTCTGATTCACTGGCAGAAGGTATATTATGTCATATAAACACACGTCCTGTAACTTGCATTGGATGCCGCATAATTAAATCAAGACAACAAACACCCACTGAGTGCCGATTGACGAATCACAAGATCATAAGGTCCGTGCAACTGTACAAGGACCATAGCGGAAATAAGTTGAACAAAGCTACCAATAAGACTTAAATCCTTCCATAGAACTTTCTCGACTCGACATCAGAAACACGTGCTAAACAACAACCTTGTGTGCCAACTGAGACATTGCACATTGACATTTTCTTGAGTCTAGACCGGAAGGTGGATCTTTACAACTACTTATATTCCTGGTCACCGGCTGGATTCATCGCTGATCATTCTCAAACAAGAATACGTTCTGACATATTGTACCAAGAATGCTAGATTCTTCTGTTGAGCAAGTGACACTATAGTACAAGTTGGATAGTTCACCGATTAAGTGTTTTTGTGCGTGAAGTTGAGAAACGGAGATCTACGCAACCTCCAACAAACTTTGCACTTGGGCGACAAGCTCTTGAGCAACTGTGACATCTTCTTCGCCCTCCATGTCTCCCTCAATAGCAGCCTGTCATGTGGATCAAGTGAGTTGCTGCCGTTGTGATAGACTCAGTCCACAAAACACATTCGACCATGCAATCCTCAATAACTTCGTGATTCTACTCATGAGGGTGGAAACGAAACATGCGATCGAGGCACATGAATACTCCATTGGATTTAGTAACAAACATGGAAAACACCCACTTACCAAAGCAGCCTCCAAATTCACGACAGCAGTTTCCAATCGCCTTCTGCAGTCAGGAACCATCATCTTGGACTCTGACAACACATTCTCCTGCTCACACAGCACCACAAGACCGTTTAAACTCTTCCATCGCCACGCTCTCAAACAAAACCCAAATACAGATCAAATTCGAAGACAGCCACAAAGGTCAGGCGCTCTACCTGCTGCTTGATGTCGTGAGAATCAGCATTATTATCCTTCATCTTCTGTGTCTTGGCAGACTCGCGCTCCACCTCTGTCTCGTACGATTTGAGCTCCTTGAGGACTCGCTTACATACCCCTGTCTTGATTTTCAGGTTCTTCATTTCCTGCGATGCCATCGCCTTTCCGCTGATGCCTTCCTCGCACAAATGACAAAATTCTCACCTCGATTTCGAAACAACAAAACCACAACGCTTCGGTCAATTCACAAGCACGGGCCGAAGGTAATTTGTCCGCCTGATGAGATCTGTCACTCTGCCTCCCCGAGCTTCTTCTGGCCCAGCTCTGCTTCTCGTCTGTTCTTTCTGCGCTCTTTCTGCTCGCCAGTACTTGCCCATCGGCCCCGCCTACGTCGTACAGTTTGCTGGGGAAAGACAAAGAGAATTTGAACTGAATACCGGTTCGTGGTTAGACAAGTAACAAAATTCGAAACAGATCTCGCCTTCGAGATGTATTGGTCTGGTATGGCGGGGAATAAACGAATATGCGGTAACAGATTAGACTTGTTACTGTCGCCACCTTCGCTTGATCTGGCGGATTTGACCCGTCAACGTGCATCGTCCCGACTGTGTTCTCTTTCTGATGGGAACACGTAACAAGCAGGACCGCTTTAACTTTCAATTGTAACCAACAAGAGCCTCATAAATCGCAAAACATGTCCAATGTAGTTCTAGAAGCCATTCACGAATATATTATTCTAGTATAAATTCATTTAGCCTAATAATATTTTACTAATATTTGGTGTTGAGTTAAGGTAACGCAAACCAAAAATTTCAATTCATTTGATGGAAATGTCCTTGTCAGACATTATTTTTCATGCTTTGAAATCGTTAAATTATATTGTCATGGATTAAATGAAGCTAAATAGTATCTAAAAAATTGAATGACAACCTAGTCAGTTAAAACTGTCTTGAACCATTATACGAATAATCTGGTCCTGTTGCTCTTCAAATTTTTATCTTTTCTACACATGTGGAAATGTCTTTTGACATGGAAAGATGGTGGAAGTTTATTAAGTTTTGAATAGATATGTATCCGAACAAGAATACATTCATATTGATAGTTACCATTTGTGTACTCGAAATGCAGAAAAGCGACATACTCACTTGGTATCAACATAAATAAAAAAATTTCATATCGCTAGTTACAATGTAAATTCATTATTGCAGTCATATGAACTGATTCTGACTTACAAAAATAGAGATCATAAACATTAAATCATAAAATAAAAATGTTGATAGATAACATTTAAGCTTTCTTTATAATCTTCATTTTGAGTTTAGATCTTTCTAAAAAAGTAATATTATCTTAACTATGAATAAATTAGTCATTACCCACAACTATGCTACAAACTTTTAGAAGTGATTGTTGTATGAAATTATTTATGATTGCTTTTTGAATTTAGTTTTTTCTAATTCAGCATAAGTCAAACTTACAATGTCTAAAGTGATGTAAAGCTAATTGATGCAACTTTTGTAGATTGAGATTTGTTGATAAATCCCTTTTTTTTTTAAGAAAATTGATCACAAATTGCCTTTAAATAATAATATTTACAACGGAATATTTTATATTTTTTTATTCATTTATCTGTATTTCATCACGCAGATTATGACTTGTCATGGCAAGCATGACATTTGAACACAACTTCATTAATCACATGTTCAATTAGTTTGCAAATGATAAATAAATAAATCAGCAAAAAAATTTACAAAATTTTCTATCTTTTATTTAAAATTATTTAGAATTTCTAATTAGAAATTATATCAATATTTTCAAATTTATTTTTCATTTTCAAAGTATCAAATTTGTTTACTTCATAATATAATACATTGTGAAAATTTTTGGTAGAATTAATTATTTATTAATATAATATCATTGATTATTTGTATGAAACTTATGATACATTTATCACAACAAATATATATATATATATAATATATATATATATATATATGATTCGCTAAATAAATCTTATATAAAACATTTGTTATATGGATGATTTGAAATTATGTGAAGTTTTTTTCGAAAATAATTATTTATATGTTAGGAGTTAACTCAGATCTTTATTAACTAAGTTAAGCTTAATCGCAACTAGTGACATATTCTTAGGATTTTTTCATCAAAACCTAAGATGTTTCTGGAGTGGTGAACGACGTATGTCTGTATCAGATGTGATCATGCATTTTTGTATTGACAGCGTGGTGAGTGCGTTTTAACTTTTCTTGTGACAATTAATTCTAAATTGTCACGTTTTTTTAAGTCTAATAAGATGCAGTTGAAAATCTAATTGAGTATGTAAAGAGCTGCACTACTGCTGTTACGTGTCATCTGTTTAAATCCTTCATTAGTACATTGTTGCGAAATTGTGAAAAAGCAGGGGATTAATTTCTTCAAATTGGTGGAGTTTTAAAGTATATACATTTTTGTTCACATTGATCATCAATTTGACAGCCATTATAAAGAATTTGAGGATTAGAAGGAGGTGTTGGAAATTTTTTTTTTCTAAAAAAAGCGCAAACCCGAGAGTTGTGAGCTTTAAATTTTAAATGTGTGTACTCTTGTTTGTTTTTCTTTGAGGGTTTCATATCGCCTATAGTCAATCTTGACTAGAATGTCATCATTGTGCTTTTTGAGTGAGCATGAACTGGTTTCTTGGGTAGTTGTTGTTGCTTCAAGAAGAGATTATCAAATGTTAAATAGAGTGCACAAGTTGACATTGAAACATAATCGGACAATACTAACGATAGTTAGGTGAAAGTGGTATTGTGAGATTTGTCTAATAAGTGATATCTGAACATCAAGGAAGGGAAGGAAAAAGGAATTGTGTTAATAATGACCAGTTAAAAAATAGATCTGCTAACGGACGATTCAGCGTTTGTTAAAATTGTGAGGACCATGTTTTGAAAGTTGTACCCACCATTTGTTGGTCTTGACCGTGGAGAAAAATAATTTGAAATGTTCAGCAGCACTGTCAAACAATTGAACGCTTCGTCATATTATTCTTTGACATTCTATGGCCCAAGTTAAAAAAGACCGAAAGTGAGTCATAGTTCAAAATCAAATAATTTGCAAAGAAGTATGATCAATACTTTGTCATCATTGTAATCTCAACAAGAGTGAAATTTTTTTTATCATGAGTTAATCAAAATTTTCATTTAACTCATGTAAGACTAATCATGTTTAGTTATATTGGTCGAACCGTATTATGTAAAGTAACTAAAAACTATTTTATATAATATATAGCTCTGAATGAAACTTTTAAGGATTTTTTGGTAAAATTTAAATTTTATTATACTTTATTCAATGTGATTGACCATGTACGCTCATTTTTGTCTATTCTTGTGCATTTTTGTGTTGATTGGATTTTGTCTATAAATGAAAAACACATCTAATATATTGAAATTATAGACATCAAAGCATCATGGTAATGTATTTATTATCCTTATATAAGATATCAATTCATTCAAGCAATAAATGAAAAAATATACAAAAAATAAATATTGAAGTATTTAAAATTTTTTTGATTAAAATTCAATGATGCATTTATCTCATAGATTCATTGACTGATTTCAAAATCAAAGTAGTGTTTTCTTAAACTATATAATGAAATTATCATTATATAGTTTAAATTATCATCCAATGACCTTTTACTGAAATTCATAACACATACCCTTTGCACAGTAATGGACTTGTCCTTTTTATCGTGCGGGATCTAGACCGGTCGCCCTATTTGATTGAACATATATTGCATTTGGTAATGTTCGATATAATAAAAACTATGGAATCCCCGGGATTCCAAATCGACAACAGTTTTTTTATTATTGTAAATATTTTAGGGAAAAAAATTGTAAGAAAAAAATAAAATTTTAAAGCATTTTTACAAATTATGATGTAATATTTATTGACAATGTGATTAATCCTAAGTGCACAAAATTAGAATCAATATATGAATAATAACCTTGAAATTAATGCTCTAACTGAATATTAAAAAATAAAATCGCATGACAACAAAAAATGGGAAATTTTTTTTGTAAAAAAAACTCAATTTTCTTTTTTAATATACTATTCAATAATTTTTACTAATAAATTTAAATTTTTACTGTCTGATCTATCAGAAAATTTAAAATCCCACAATTCATTTTTTCTAAAATACTTTTTGACGTTTTGATTTCAAAAGGCGGTGGCTGTGTGGAAGGTCGCTCTTCCCGCCCGGAAGACGCTAAATTTTATATTTAGCCTTATATTTCATTTCAAAGTGTCTAAATTTGATTTATATATATATAACTTTAATGAAAAAAATTATAAACTTATCAGAAATAAAATATTTTAGAATCATGTTCTAGATTAATTTTTTACCTCATTTATGTGTAAATCAAAATGCATTTGTGTATAAATTAATAATTTCATTTACTTCTTTACTATTCTTGGTTCTTTTCCACGAGTGTTAAAAAGATCAAGTGGATTTTGGGTATACTGTTACTGTGTGCTCTTTGCTATAGGTAATTTATAACTAACAGTCTCAAAACTTTCATCCTGACAAAAAACAAAAAATAAACCTTCCAGTAAATTGTTATTTACTAATAATGTTCAAAGTTTTTATACACCTATTTTGATCTTTTATTTGAATCTGTTAATAAATTTTGTTACATTATCATCACATTTGTAAATTTTACAATCACAATATTTTTTATTGGACTCAATCCAACCTGTAGTTGAAGAATTATGAAATTTATTATTAGATTATTCAAAAAATTGGAAAGCTTTAAAATATATAGGTTTCATGTTTAATTTGATAGTTATATAATAATAATAATAACAATATTTCTACAACTAAAATATGATAAATAAATATATGATTTAATAAATAAAATTTATAAATTCAATATAAGATTCGTCTAACAAAAAATTTTTATACAACTTTTAACACAAAATCTTATTTTTTACACTAGATTACTCATTGTTGAAATATTTAATTTTTATTTTGATGAAAAAATAAATTACAAATATTAATTTATATATTATTTTGATTTTTTTATAACTTAGATTGAAATTTATATTATTAAATTTTATTTCAATCAATTATTGATTGATTTTATTGGCATAAGTTTCTGATTGGACTGATGATATTTTGTATTGGTGTGATTTGCACATGTGCATTTGTGTAGAATCTCAGAAATAAGTGTTATATCATCCAAGATTTACAACTATTTGTTGTCCATCAACATTATGAAAATTTTATTATTGATGTAAATCAATTATTCATGCAATATTTTCAATCATAAAAGTAATGTAAATCTTTTATGTCATAGCAAATAATACATCAATGTTTAATTCAATCTGTATTTTACATACATATGTGTACGCATAAATGAGAAACATAAAGTAAAAAATATAAACACAATTATAATATAGTTTATAGAATATGTTAATGAAACATTTTGTGTGATTTCAGACCTGAAAGCTTATTCAGGACTTTTGATCAATTTGGATTGAACATAATTAAACTTGATTGAAATTATTATGGAACATTCACCAACATCAATATCATAATTGTTACATTAGTTTTAATCTAAATAAGATCATAAAATTGAGTTTTTAAAATTTTAGGATCACAGAATATTGAATCATAAGAAGAGTTTCACACTTTGTTGTTATCATTTTGAAGGTGTATGTAATTAAAGCTCCACTGTCGTTACAATGTTGAAGTATCTATGTTAGTCCAACACATACTTTCAAATATCAGTTTTTCATTGCAATTTAGTATCATATATACTCAGCCTATCTAACGTACTAATTTTTGGTTTATTAGTAACAATATCAATGCAATTACATGAGATCAAATATTTTTAAAATTTTATATGAGGAATTTATTATTAAAAAAGAACTTTCCTACGATGCAAAAATAAAATAAAGATTGTAGTAAATATTTTTTCAATCTCTGATTCTATTGAAGCTGAATTGATCATTATTTGATTTCATCACATATTTTATTTTTGTATGTTGTGTTTGTATATAAGAAGATAAAAAATTAATTAAATTTTAAGTCATAATTCATATTTATATTTGCAAAAATTATTTCAGAAAATTTTCATTCTCATGATTAAATCACATGAAATTATTATGTAGAACGATATAAACTGAATATAAAATAATCTAGAATATTAATATCACTATATTGGTGTATAAGTAAATAAAGTTAATTCTCTCTTATATAGGGTCAAATCCGAATATCTATAATTATGGAATTTTTTTTGTAAGTCACTGTATTGGAAACGTTATAAAAAATTTCAAATTTGTGAAACATATAGGGGAATTTTCTTTTAACCGAAGTGACTGCTAAAAGAATAATTTCGAATGGAATAGAGACAAAATAGTTACACAGTGTATGGATGGAACTCTTCGGAACTCATTATCTGTGGAAAGAAAGGTTATGCGTTCCAAAGAATTCAGCAAGCAAACCAGTCAAACAAAGAAACCTATGAACAAGCAAATTTACCATCAACATGTTTCTTTCAGGAATCAACTTGGCCACGCTACCAATTACATTCTCACACGTTTACAGAAACACGTACATTTGGACCATTCTCTCTACATGCCCCAAACCTTGAGTTCCGTGTCTTTAGGTCTGGCCAAGTTGATTGCCACGTCGGACATGTGGTCCAAGTCAGGCGGTGGTCTTATTCCACGCCCGAAGGCGTGGTATACTGCAGTAGAACGAAAACTACACTGACAGTGATTTCTCCGCACCTTGCCGGCCTTGTCCTACATGCGGCAAATCCCTAGTCTTGGGTGCTCTGATCGAAGGAAGGGAAGTGGCATTTGAGATGCCGATGGAATGAGGTGTGCCTGGCAATTTGGAATTTGATCGACAAACGGAGCAAGCGGTTGGCAGACGATGCAGATTTGGCTCTTAAGGAGATTTTGCGAAGGTTGTGTAAGGATTATATTTTCGACGGTGTTTGTTGCAGTTTAGTGAGAGCCGAAGACAGACATGGGTTTTGTTGCGGAAACCCTGGATTCGATACGGAAGACAAATGTGCGTCAAATTTTGCTTCAAGCCGTCAGTCTTGGGATGATTGTGACATCGGCTTTGATTATATGGAAGGGGTTGATGTGTTTTACCGGCAGCGAATCCCCTGTGGTGGTGGTGCTGTCGGGTAGCATGGAGCCAGGTTTCAAACGAGGAGATATTTTGTTTCTGCACATGAGCAAGGCTCCTATCCGTACTGGAGAAATCGTTGTATTCCATGTGGATGGTCGGGAAATTCCAATTGTTCATCGCGTGATCAAGGTCCATGAACGCCGTAATACAGGGGATGTTGAAGTGCTTACCAAAGGTGATAACAATGCGGGAGACGATCGGTTGCTGTATGCCCAGGGTCAGATGTGGCTTCAACGGCACCATATTATGGGGAGAGCTGTTGGTTTTCTACCTTATGTAGGCTGGGTTACAATTATTATGACAGAGAAGCCGTACATTAAGTATATCTTAATTGGAGCATTAGGACTCCTTGTTATTACCTCAAAAGAATAAAGGATTCGGTTCTGAGGAGAAAGCGATAATCTCGGTTCCGAAGAGAAGCTACGTTTTTGAAGCAGCACCGCGACGGCAACTCGATGCGACTTTGAGTGTAGGTACATGAAAGTTCAATGACAGTCATTTCATGGGTGTCATTGGTTAGATGGGCAAGATCTTCTGATCAAGGAAGTGAGTTTTAACTCACATGTGGTCAAGATTTATCCACACATTACCTTTTGTACAAGCCCCCAATTCCCTGGGACACACGTAATCCTTGCACCCAGAAATGAAAATTTAGAAACACATGATGACCAAGCAGTCAGAGGTTCCTGTGTTTAAGAGCTGGAAAGGATGACCTTTTTTTATATCAAGCAGCACTTAGAACAGCTTGTTGTTGCACGGTTTCTGATTTCTCTTGTATGGTTGAGAAGGCGATGAACCTTCAGCTTGTGTTCTAACAACATGAATCTTGCGAGAAACGGTGAACTGTGACATCAGTCATTCAAGTTTGAATTTCGTTAGAAGTGACACGATTATTGTTAGGGTAGGAAGAATATTGTCGAAACTTTAGTATCACCCTCATCCGCATGTTTATGGCGTATGGTACTTCGTTTTGAACCCTTTTTTCCGGAGGTCAGTAGCGGATATTTCTTGCTGGAAAGTTTTGTCAAGCATGTGAATTGTTACTGCTGGGCATCTCAGCAGGACCTGGACTGTAATTTGGTTTGGGCTGCAGCCCATGCTCTGCGAACCCTTACGAGGAATGTACCTGCTGCAGGAAGATCCAGACATCTCTTTTTGCTCTACTGGTGAGTGCCTGATAGTTCTCGTGGCTCTTTCGAGGCAATCCTATATTGGATCGATGATCATGTGACAGTCAAGGGTCTTATTACAGCCATGAGTACGTGTGAATATTTTTCTTCACATGAGTAACATTATCGACTCTGTAGTTGGCACGAAGAGTGAGACCATTTTAAGCTTGACCTTTTTGAGCATTACACTATCCGTGTTTTCCAGGATTCGAGGAATGTGGCATCTAAATCCGACAATGGACCCATTTGCTCAGCAGAGTTGGGAGGTTGTGTTCTCATGAAGCTGCGTTAGAGGTTAGTCTTCGTCGTGTTTTTCAAAGGAGTCATATTTCAGTTGCAAGGTAGCCAGTGTGCCTCATCCGAGCCAAAGACGATCAAAGCATGATCCTAAAAGCCCATGCGCGTATCCACTTTTTAGACTTTGTGCCACCTTTTCGTGCTGAGAAAATGTGTCCCGTTTTCAGGTCACTCATCCTTAAGAAGCACCAGAATTCTCATGTATCCAACTTAATGGTTGAACCATGAATCCGTTTACCCATTACACATGGTCTTGAATCACACATGACAGTACACGATGAGGCGGTCAAGAACCGGGAACATAGCATGTGAGCCTTAGATGACTGACTTCACTTGGAGGAATTGTCTTCAGGTCTTATTGGAATACTCATGGACAAAATCCGCTCCAATCAAGGACTAAGAAGCCGGTTAGCATGGAGCCGTTTTCGTCGGTTCTCAGCAATCAACCAAAGACTGTATTCCACCACAATTTTTCACAGCTGCATTTAATTGAACGACTTCTGAAATGAGGGATGATATGAGTTGGAGCATTGAAGGTTAAAGCTCGGTGAATGCCTCCTGGCTAAGTTCAGAACGACCGGGGCTTGCAAGCTCTTGACTTTTCAGCAAAGGATTTGATGCTTCGATTCCCACAAATGCACACGACGCCACACATTTTTCATCACCTCATGGGTCTTCAAAATCCAGAAAACACTCAGACGAAGTGAAGGGCAATATCATCTTCTCCTGTAGGTCGATTCCTACACACCTGGCTATGAGGCTCAAATCTCTACGTGTACAACGGTTTCAGGTCAAACTCGGGGTTCAGGTTTTCATCAAATCACTTACAATTATCTTTTTGAAAGAAAAGTATGCATCGTCTAGAATAGTAATACCTGGATGAAATCAGCTACAAAGATTGTGAAAGTTCAAAACACCTAGTTTGAGAATTACTAATTGAAGTGGCCTGATGAGGGAAGCACTTTCGTTGTGGCTAAGCACCCGGCGAATTTCGGCAGCCGTTATAAATACCTGTCTTGTCACCTGACCCTGGTTCTTGTAGGAATGTCCGTCCTCTCTGTACCCTGGGGGAAAGTGTGGAGGTCTATCCTCGAGTTGGAGGTGATTTGGTATGTTGGAAGTAGCTACATATTGACTGTCATTCGGAGGACCATCACATGGTAGTGCTTATTCAGCTTTACACGATTTCCTGCCATAACGATGTTGGACGTCAAAGACTACAAAATGTCAGTGCGCTCCTCCGTACTGAGTTCGGACATTCTGAATGTGAGATACTTCTTCGAAATTGTCGTGGACAGAACTTTGTTAATTCTCTTTGTCAGAATTCAATCTTTGTGTAGAACTGTACACTATTTGCCCTCTATGAATGTGACTCTAGACGTTACCAGTCTCAATGGACCTATTCTTATCATTCATTCGATGACAAAGCAAATCAGTTAGGCATTCATGTGATCTACTTTAGACTCTAGGATCGAAGGCACCCTATGTTGGACCTTACCAAGTAATACAGCGAAAAGATGGACGACCCCATCAAGTTCTACAGGATGGAACCGAATGATTAAGTTGGAGCGACAATAATTCACGATGGAAAACATGATATATTGTATTTAGCATCCGAACAATGCGGGTAAAACAGTGTACATACTGTGACCATATGAAAGACGGTTCGGATTACACCAGCCAATGCCGCAGGTGTGGAGTAATAATAGTGAACGGGAAACTTTTATGTATCGAGAAACCTCAGGATATACTTGCCTATGGGCGGATGCAATCAGTAATATCCTAATCATTAAAGTAGCCAAAGACATTCTTGAACGTTTTTTAGGTCTCTGTTATTTGTTCTGCAAGATCTGCTCCACGATCATAGAACTGTAAACTGAGACAGATTGAAATATTAAATAACTCAACTTAACTCCTAACGTTCTTAATAATTGTTGCCAGATTTTATTTTACTTGGAAAACGCATTAGCCTTGACTATGAGATTCCATCTTTAACCTCTTGTGAGAATCTCATATCTCTTTCTCCTGATCATCAATTAATATTGGGTTTAGTTGCATTTGAAAAATACATTGCCAAAAAAATCATGCTTTTCACATATCAATACTGATAAATTTTAGTCAAAATTTATATAATCCAAGTCAAACATTTTAAAATTTTTGAAACTTTGAGACAACCTTTTGAGCTCTTTCAACTCTAGGAGTATACACAAATTTCAATATATACACTACCTTGAGTTTTAAAAATATATGAGGCTTCAACGCTACTCTTTAATGTATTTTAAATAGACTTCAATAATCTCTACATCCTTGGTTTCACTTTCAAATTTCAAATCAACATATTAAATTAATTATAACTTAGATAGCATCAATTTATATTTCTACCGTACAAGTGAAGCTAATACCTTAAATTTCTATCCAGACCTTACAAGATTCTTGTACTTAAAAGTATTTCAAAACTCTTCAAATTTACAGATATTTATTGGTTCACACTTCACCATTATTGAGAAAATTGTGTAATTTGTTTTATGAGATAATTTATCCAAATCAACTTCAATTTATTTTTAAATCAATAGTTTATATTAGTGAAACTTTTCATTCACATTTTCTGAATGTTGCAGTGGACAAAAAGCTGATATTATGTTATATCCATATGTCCGTGTCAAATTTACTTTTATAGATAATGTTCTAACAAGCAATTAAATAGATCAAACTTCATGTCATATGATTGGATTTTACTTGATTAGTCTCTAGTATGTACCAATGTACACAATTAAAATCTTCGCTTTTACTTTAACCTTAAGCAGGCTCATAAAATCTGGCATCTATATTTAGATGCCGACTTTACTAGAATTAAACTGGCCAATGTGCCACAATTTACTTATATAGACTAGTGGGCCAGATCACCCGTTGACCATCTCATTAATAGTTTTCCGTATTTTGCACAATATTAAAAGAAATTACAAATTTCTTGAATATTTAGTTTTCACCTTGATTGTGTATCTTGAATTTTATGAGATAGATGAAAAAAAATCTACATGTTAACAACAGAGTCTAATAGTTAGTTTTTATATATGTATCTTAATGAATTTCAAAACACAAATTGTTAATGTTTATTATAATTAATACACTTAGACTACAATTCATTCTTCATACTAGTATAACAATAATTTTGGACCATATATTACATTCATGTACAGATGGGTTCAATATTTTATTTGTCTTGAAGAAGGTTTTACATTAAATGGATAAAGTGTTAAAATATAAACCAGAAAAGAAACAAGTTTTGAAAAAAATTGTTTAAAAAAAAGAAAAAAAGATAAGGATTTTATTAGAATTTAAAATTATTTTTTTTGAAAGTTTTTATTACTTACAGAAAATTTACATTAAATAATGTAATTGAAAAATTTTTAAACACTTGAAAACATTGATACTTATCATTAAAAGAAATTTTATAGAGAAATTAAAATGAAAAGAATTATATTGAAATATCTAATAAAAATATAAAACACAAATGATGTGAAAAAAATTCCTATTAATTCTTGAGAGAAGTAATTTTGAAAATTGCAAAGTTACATGAACTAAATATTAATTAAAATTAGTCTGATTTTTGTAATACAATTCATTACAAGTATATAACATACATATTTTTTATCAATATAACTGGTTAAAAAGTTAAATATAGTAGCCAAGAATATAATAAATGAAAATATAAGAAATTTTGTTTGAAAAATGCTAGAGTAAGGCAATTTTTTTGTCAGAGTAGAATATTCTTTCAACCATGAAAATATTCTTTTGGTTAGAATATATCCTTAGTGAAAGTATTTTCTCAGTGTGAGTATTTCCTCAATTAGAATATTCACTCAAACAAAATTTTTCTTCACGGTATTTTGGTACATTCGGGAAACTCTAAGAAGATAACAAATGAGCGGAAAGTAAGAAACTACCACAACTTCTAGCATTTGTCGTATTGAGATTCAATTAGTAAGGCAGAAGTAGAAGGTTACAAGAACTTGATATGCTGTTGAGTGAGAAATCTGCTAACTTCAACAACATTGAATGAAAAGAACTTCAGAAATTGTAGTATACATCATACAGTAAAACCCCTGCTAAGTTATCCCCCGCTAAGTTATAACCCCTCGTAAGTTATCAAAAATTTACGGAACAAACATCGTTCTATGAGGACTAAGTTATAAAGCATAAGTTATGTCCTCAATGACCAAAATAAATTTTTCAGAGGTTTTTTATTACTGCTTAAGCCAGCCATCGAGCGTCGCTTGTTGGAGATTTTCGAAT